GCTGTCCCCATGCTGTGGCAGAGGCCATGCTTCAGAACAGTGACTGCTGGTCCTGTTTTGAAGCACATAAGCTTTACAGATCCTATAAGCTTTAACCAAGAAGCAGATGCACTTTGGTTTATACCAAGTACAGAAGAAATTGAAAGGGATTTAAGCTATAGTTCCTGACTCAAGCTGAAGATGGTCAATTCTGCTTCCAAAAGGCCACATCTGTAGCAGAGCCATGGATGAATTAGAAGAAAAATCTGGAGGCTATGGCAGGAGTCAAGAACTGACCATGAAGGGGGTGGTAATAGAAACCAAAGAGAAAAGAAAGCATGAAGAGAAAGAAGGAAGAAAGAGGGAGAAGAGAGAAGGACGGAGGAAGGGTGGGAGGGAAGGAAGGAGAGAAAAAAGAAGGTCAACTCAATACAAACCCAAACCTTTAAGTGTGTAGTTCAGTGAACACATACAAACATAAATGGAAGTCATAGAGCACAATTCTGTTTGAGGTTTGGGCTGCTAATCTGGCAAAAATTGAAGTCATTGGCAAGACTCAGTTCTGGGCAAGACTAGAGGAAAATGCTGAGGAGAAGCTGGTGGGAGTTGAGTGTGACATATTTTTGTAAATGTTCTCAAGTCACTAACTTTTACTGACTCTACCGAAATGGCTTGTCAGATGACTTTCAAAGGATGAACTTAGTATCTGTGTTATGCTGTTCACCGACTGTGAATGACCTTTGTTTTTGTTTTGTTGTAATAAGATTAAGGAAATTGCCTTGGAGGAGCTTATGCTCTTTTTATAAAGAACACGCAAAGCATTAATAACATTAATCTTATTAGAGCATTGAGCAAAGTTACAAGTTTGGAGACTTTGGCTTACCCAGAATCACATACTTAGTTTATATGCCATGCTGAGACATGTTACCCTGATATGGATCTGGAAAAGGAAAAAAGAAACTGGTTCATGGTGACCTTGTCAACTGAGGAAAGTAATCCAGTGAGAGAGAGAGAGAGAGAAGCATGTGTGAGGAGAGCAGGCTCTCTGAAGACAGTTCTCTGCAGCATTGTAATACAGAAAGGAGGTTCTAATGGATGCCAAAGTCAGCCTTCCCCTCACAGGGAGAGAGAAAGGCAGTTCCATAGACTAAAACACAGTTATGATATGCAGCACACTAATGTAAATATTAAACGCCAAGTAATATATGAATAGAGAAAGGGAAAATGAGGAAACTGGTGCAAAAATTTCATTTGGGACTTTGTCAGATATTGGAGAAGTTATTAAACATAAAGACACAGAGATAGAAACAAAGCAGGTTTGCAGAAAATAAGGTCAGGTAAGTTACAGCAACTCTTAGCCCTAAGAAGAAAGGAAAAATGAAGACATTAATGGAGCCAGTCACCTACACAACACATGCGCACACACACACAGCTTTATTTTGGGATCAGGAGCTGCCCTGCATGTTGGAGAGACAAGTGGTCTGTAGGAAGCTCATACATTGTGAAGAGGTAGATGTTTGGCAGACAGTAGGAGCAGAAATCCAGGGTACTTGTGGCCTACAGACTGGTGATTGCTCTGGGTGGACTGTGACTAGAGAGATGAAGATATCACAGAGTAGGGAAGACAAGGCTCTGATTTGAGCAAAGGCTTCAGGTGAATGGAACCTTAGAAGAAAGGAATTAAGTCAATGGCACTTACATAAGGAGGAAAAAGAGGTAGAAACTGACAGGCAGTTCCCCAGGGGTCTTGGTCTTTATCTTGATGACCCTGAGAATACCCGGTTGGCTTTCTGCAGGCCTGTGATTTTTATGGGATGGTCTAAGTATAGTACGGACAGAAGGTGGCACACTGGCCATATGGAAGGAAGCCAGAGGGGCACCTGCTACAGTTGTCCAGGTAAAAAGGGGATACAGACTGGCTGGTGACTATAGGAAAAGGGCTGGCCATGGTATAAACTCAACAGATACATACAAAGATTGTTAAATGAGGGAAGTGACAAAATGTGGGGCTTTTCTGCAAAGTTAACTTTCACAGTGGGATACACATACATTATATATATATATGGCACAACATTTTTCTCAAGAGTCAGTGAAATACTCTATTAGCACCACCCTAGCACCCGATCACCTCACTTCACTAACACAGTGCTCATCCTGCTAACGGTTAACGGTCAAGAGAGGCTGCACAACACATACATGACCTGCTTGTGGTGGTGCAGCTAGATAAAGTCAAGAGCAGATGACAAAAGAAGAATCCTGAGCAGATGGCTCAGGTGTTGAGGCACTTGTACAAGCCTGAGATCTGGGGTTTGATCCCTACCATCCGCGTAAATGTCAGTGGGCATGACTGCCTGCCTGTAATTCCTGGTTGGGGAGCTGGAAACAGGGGAGCCTGCCACAGAGATAAGGTGGAGCAGTGGCCAGGGACCTTGTGCCTTCACATGCATGTGCACAAAAAGCCTGAACACGTTTGTACACAAATGTGTACACAGACATACACCTATACATTCAAATACACAAACACACACATTAATATCTTTAAAGAGCTTTTACAGGCTGGGTGTGGTGCATGACTATAACTAGTATTTGGGAGACTGAAACAAGAGGTTAACAAGTTTTGGGACTAGCCTAGACTCTGGACAACTCAGGAAGACCCTATTCAACAAATGATAAAAAATAAAAATAAAAAGTTAAACGTCATATAGCCCACTAGTGGAACACCTGCATAGCCAATGTAGCCCCAGTAAAACACACACACACACACACACACACACACAAGAATTCTAGTAAGTCCCCAAAACAATAAACACTAAATCAGACTCTAAAATAACAAAGACGTGCATTATTATAATGTTAACTGAACTTGAAATAACAGTATCAGAGGCGATCCGAATTCCATCAATTAATTAAGAACACTGATGTTTAACAGAATATTTTACAGTCATCAAAAATAGCAATTTCGATTTGGAATAAGTCAAAACAATCTTGAGGATGACTAACAAGTTAAAACACTTAAGCTTTCTGATTTCAAAACTTACCACAAAACTATAGTTTATCAAGAAGCTATGGAACTGGCACCAGTGAGAGACACAACAAAAGCAGAATAGAAAACTCAGAAATAAACTATCACTCCAATAGTAGGATGATTATTATTACGATTACTAAATCTATTCAATGTGGGATGTAGTCTTTTTAACAAATGATATTAAGAAAACTGGACATCCACATGCAAATGGATGAAGTGAATTAAAACTAACTCAAAAGGGATCAAGTTCCTTAAGTAAAATAGTTTTTTTTTTTTATTTCATAGAACTTCTGTTTTTAGAGGAAAAATAAAGAAGTTTCACAAATCAAGACTTCACATTGATTTCCATAGACACAGCATCAAAGCATCAACAGCAGGAGAAAAATAAGTGACTCACTGAATGGCTTTGGCACATTCAAAAACAGCTACACACCAAGGTGAACCACCAAGACAAGCCACAGAATGGGAGACAGTTTTGTCAATTACATAGCCGATAAAGAATTAATATGCGTAATATACAAAGCCCTCAACAACAGCACCTCCCCAAAGCCCAGTTAAAAATGGACCAGGAAACAGACATTTCTCAAAAAAAAAAAAAAAAAAAACACACACACACATATGAATAGCCAACTAATGTATAAAAAGATGGTCATCATCACAATTCATAGGGAAATGGCAAACAAACAAACAAATAAACAAAACCCCCAAAACCACAATTAGAGATTGCTTCATATATATTAAAATGACAATTATCAAAATATCAGGAAATAAGGGTTGGCAAAGATATAGAGACAACAGAACCCTTATACTGGTGAAAATATAAAATGACATAATCATGGTGGCAAGCAATATGTTAGTACCTCAAAAAAAAAATCAAAAGAATTATCCTGTGATACAGAAATTTCTAAATGTATATTTGAAAGAGCACAAATCTTGAAAAGATAATTTGTATATCAGCGTTTGCAACAACATTGTTCATATCACCCAAAACAGGGAAATGATCCATCAACAGACGAATGAATAGGCAATATGACCTACACTCTAAGATTTAAGAAGTCAATTCTGAGAAGTTTAACTGTAAGAATGCTGAAAACATAAACGGTAGCAGAAATAACGCAGAGAATAAAATGACAAAGATCACACGCCTCCACTCGGGTGAGAGGCGGTCAGTCGTCAGATAAACAGAGCAAGGAAGGGCCTCTGTGGCCAGGGCCTTGGGCTAGGGCATGAGGACACATTGTTCATGTGTGCAAAGTTCCAGACTGGACAATGGTGATGGGGATAACGGTACAAAACGTGAGCGCATGTATGCTCCCCAAAGTGTACATTTGAAAGTCTGTAAATACCAAATTTGTACTTGGTCAGGCCATTTAACGTAGCCAACTCTCAGCTTCCTCGCCTGTAACTCAAAGACAAAGGCACCACTGTGTTACCACAGGTGGAGTGTCTCTGATGCTGCCCTTCAGGCCTTTACGAAGGGGCTGCCCTGTGTCCTGTGGATCAGTGCCACCCCTGGCCTCTGCACACTACGGGCCTGTAACAACCCAACCGTTGCCAGTAAGGGCAACTGAAACTTTCTGCACTCATTTCCAAATGTCCTCCGGGAATAACCCTGCTCCTGTTTGAGAACATTTTAAATAGAGTGACACGTGGGGAAACATTCTAAAAAGCATAAAACAGCGAATCAAATTATGTCAGTATTAGTATAAATCCATTTGTAAGATTATTTGTCAAAAAAAAAAAAAAAGAAAAGAGACCTTTAAAATTTTACAGTTTCCTTAAGAATGTTTTATTTGCTATTTTTATATATTTTGCCTACCATTAAAAGCCCTTTAGGGCTTTTTGGTGAATTTGTGTTATTCAAACACAGTATCTTCATTACAGCATATTTCTTAATGTATCACTAAGCTAACACGACAGAGTCAAATATAATTGCAATCTCTACAAAGTAGAAACTTTATTTTTTTTGTCCAAAATCGCAGTTCTTGTTGCCTACCTTTTAAGGACAAAGGACTGGATCTTGTGAATTCTGCATTTGATGGTCTGTGCTGTTTATAAACGCCCATGTACCCCTTAACTCTGGAATCAATGGTTTCTCTTAACAGCAAACAAATTTCCTAAAGTAAATTTAAAACATTAGACATTTCTAGTTTAATGCAATGCAAAGAAGAAAAGATTATACATATTGAAAAAGCAAAGGCTGGCATTTGGTTAGCTTTTGAGCCTAGCCAAGAATGCTGAAAGAAACACTGTATAGCCTTCTAGACTGCACTACACATTAAATGTACTATCAAAGATGGATCCATGCCTGATGTTGGCTCACTTCATTATCTCTCTGCCTCGGTTTCACACTTTCAACTGGAAGATTTAAAAGCTTACTTCAAAAGCGGGATGTGACTTCAAGAATGATTTCATTTAAGTATCAGTCTACCACACTGTGATGGACACATGCAGCATGGGTCTCAGGGGGAGACAGCACTGAGGCAGAAGGGTGTAAGAACACCCCTCCTGTCACTGCAGGTGGCCTGGAGACAGGCCAGGGCTGTCAACAGCTCTAGCCCCTGTCTCACCACACTGGTGTCCTGACTGCAGGTACAGTGTTATCAGATATTATTTGTATAAGGAAAGCCAGGAACAGCAAAAGATTCCATCTTAAAGCATGGTTCACATTTATTTTTATATTTTATTGTTGTGTAAACACCATTATTTATTAGTTTCTGGAGAGTTAGAGCAGTGGGTTAAATAGACAAAAAGGCAGTGATGTGACCTTCCCACTCTGTGCTGATGCCAGAAAGAAATCCCATTTGCTTTTAAAAATCACATTGTGGTTCTTCACTCATTTATGATAAAAATAACTTCCCATGTCTCTGGTATAGATTAATGTTATTAGGTATCAGAACCAGGCTTGAATTCAATTTCAGCTTACCCTGTTAATAAATTTCTGGAGATATCAGTTGGCTTGTAATATCTGTAAAGAACAACAACTCAAAATAACTCAGAAGTCAAACTCCACACTGGGACTATCGATGGTCTGTAGTGTGTCCTGTGTTACCAGGAAACTGTAATTTACCATAGGAAATCAGGGGAGACTACATATAGAATCGACACCAAATGAGTGATAAATCCTAAGTTAATTCCCAACACTTCTGCAGCAGACTCAGAGTTGTTCAGGTCACCACAAAGCTGTTCCACTTGTTTCTCAGAAGGCCAGCACAGTTTGGTCATTTAGATTCTTCATAATTACAACACACACCAAGTTTTAGGCTGCTCTGAACAACAGCCATAGTGAGTTCCTTTACTGAAACCCTTAAACAGTATATAAAAACCTTGATTTAACACATTGACTTGATTTAACATAGACATTTCTACATAAAATACAACGGAAAGTCTCCTCTCTCTTGCTTTATATTGCAGCTAAAAGATGCATTGTTTTGTGGAGTATAAAGCTATCCATTTGTAGTTGAATGCTCTAGCACTGTTCACACAACATGAAGGCAGCCTTGCCTCATACTGTTGTTTTAGCAATAAAATAATTTTTGCTTCACATACAGCCTTCAACTATGACTGAGCCAGAAAGTATGTGGAAGGCACACATGGCAACAAAGATTGTTAAAATTTGGCCATAAATACCCTATAAGGCTAGAACTAAAAATAGTATGATAAAAATAGAGCGCATTCACATGAAGTTTCTCACTAAAGCACAGGCGTTTCTTCTGGGAATCAAGTTTCAGGAATTAAAGATGGGTAATGTACAGAGTGGAAAAGATACCTAAGAACTGACTGGACCAGGCTTGGTGAGGCATCCTCTTCACACCTAGAGCAATGCAGGAAAAAAAGAAAAAACAAACAAACAAACAAACAAAACAGCCAGGAACATCTGAGAAGTAGGTGAAAGGACGGAGTGAAGATCCATGAGTGAGTGGGAGACAGGCATAGCCTGTCTCTAATTCCTCAAGTTTACAAATGGGACAATTTCAGTTCGCCTCTTTGAGTCCAAAGGCTACTTGAGCTGGACTCCAATAAAACATGTTAAATATATTAATCCAGTCCTTTTTTCGTACAAAGTTAAAATGCAATCAAACTGGTTATTTATGAAACCCCAAGCATACACCATCTAAAATTTTTAAAAAAGGAAGCACTGACTGAACAAATGTACAGTCATAGCCTTTCTTCAACTCTCCTGTTGAAGCTATGCACATAAATTATTTCAGACCGACTCTGCTATCAGTGAACATACATTTTGAAGGAACAGCTTAAAACACTGGTGGCAAACTTTCGACTTTGCTTTCAGAGGAAAGCTCAGACCTCTTGTAGGAACCACTGAAGGATCTCTCTGCAGGTCCCATCATACACCTCTGCTAAGTCATGCCTCACTGCTCTGGAGTAGGCACTAGTTGGAACAACAAAGCTGCATGTGGCGCCTTGACAAGAAGGCTAACCTCATGTTTTGAAGGTGAGGTGATTCACATACTCTTGGCTCTAGAACATTCTGTATCACCATTTCTTGGTCAAAACTGCCTAAATACCAACTCTAAAGGTCTACAGCTAAAGTGTTCAAGCTGTAAAAGGACATGGGAAAGTTGGGGTCTGGAATGGTGGATTTTAGAACCTATCAGAAGCTCTTGCAAAATACTAGGAACTTTGGTGGAATGGATGCACTAATTTGAATCATACAGACATGTGTACATGACCTAATGTTGAGACTGTAAGAAGGTGAGTGGTGGAGAAAGGTTCTGGCCTGCTAAATATAAAGTCCTCAAGAGGACAGCCCATAATCAAACTCATTAATGATAAACTGATCATACCAAACTTTGTGTCCTTTTCTCAGTATTAGGTCACTGGCTATCCTTGCAAAACTAATGACCACAAAGAATTATCATTTGACTGAAAGTATATTTTTATAAGTGATTTGTGGGTGGGCAGCTCAGTTTTAGTGATATGAACAAATGTAAACATCATTTTCCCTCTACCATTACTAGTTTTGTTACTATTCAACATTACTGTTTAATACAATTTACTTTTATTTACTTTTCTGGAAGTAAGGGCAGCAGATGAATACAATAAAATAAATGGAAACAATGTGGGTTGGAAGTCTGTAGATCACATTTACTCACTGCTTGTGGTGTGTGTGTGTGTGTAGCTGTGTGGACATCCACATGTCAGGGTGTATATGTGGAGGTCAGAGGACATCTTGCAGGGGTTAGTTTTCTCTTTATACCTTGCCAGTTCTGGGGAGTCAGTGTTTTGCAGCAAGTACCTTTATACCCATAAAGACATGTAACTGGCCTGTTTTGAAATTTTTGAATAGGCCTCTACCTCACTACTGTCGCTAGTCTCTACAGAAGGAAACAAACAATGATTCTCCACCACAGGAGCTCCCAGAGAGGGTGTTGAAACCACAGGAGACTAAGGCCTTTTATGGTCAAACTCTTTAATTTGAAGATAAAGGAGACTGAAGCTCCCAGGGAGGTCAAATATCATAGTATCAACTCTTGAAAGCCATGGGGTAAGAGCACAGTGGGAGAGTTCTCAGGGATAACTGGTGAATCTTCTATAACTTAACTACTAATAAAATACTGTTTTTGTTTATTTTTTTACAATTTTGACTTTGACGTGTGTGTCCGTGTTGTATGTGTGTGCGTGTCTGTTGCATCCCTATCCTTTCGTGTGTCTGTGTAAATGTGTTTGTCACACTTGCGGGTCACAACGTGGCCAAAAGAAGGCTTGAAGCCCCTAGCGGTAGAGTTATAGGCAGTTGTGAGATGTCTGAATGGGTGCTAAGAACTTAACTCAGGTCCTCTGGGAATGAGATACCTTTCTAGCTCTATAATAGTTATGAACTATTAGTGGAAAACATTACTAAAGGAAAAAAATAGTCATGACACATTTTCTATGTTAGATATATGTGCTTAAACAAATAACTAAGAACTCTAAGAGATGATATTTTACTCTGGCATGCAATTTAGTAGAGAGACAAACTGCTCATCTGCCATAACCACTCATCCAGTTTTAGGCAGACCCTCACAACTGAGCTCATTCTAAAGCCAACAGAGATTTACAGAATCTCTGAATGAACTGTAGTAAATCTGGTAGTGAACAGTAAATTAATTATATTTTTTGTTAAACATTTCAATACTTGTAGGCTATGAAATTCACCTGATAGTTTTTTTTTTTTTTCAACTTCTCCTAAAATTTCATGGATCAGCAGACTTATACGCTCCAAATCTAAGTTGTTCAAAGTCAACTACACAATCATACCAACCATCTGTTTTACTGGCTGGCTGACAGGAGAAGAGGAAGACTGGAGCTCCTTCTAACCTGTCAAAGGCTCATGCCAATGAAAAGAGGCGAAGATGAAAGTGAGTATTAATACAGATGTGGAGATTAGCTTCGTATGAACGCCACACCTGCTCCAGGTGCTGCCATCCTTCTCATCACTCAGATCAAAATCCCTGCTCTCTTGGAATAGTTTGGCTTCTCTGCCTCCCATTTTATTATAGAGAACCATTTTCCTCAAAGTAAAGGGGATTAGAATTTTTGGTTTAATTAATAAAGCCTGGGATGAGGACATCACAAAGATGGTAAGGTGCCCATCAAGCATGTAAAGGCCCTATATTTAGTCCCTAACACCACATGCATACACATAAAACAACCAGATCAACAAGAGATTAGCACATGAAACACAGGGCTGTGGTGGGCACTCATGTATTCTTGACACCAGGCACACTCCTGTAAATAGGTAACTATCACTCAACCTTTTTAAAACACTAATGAAAACAAAAGCTGAGAAGAGCTGATATTTCTTCTAGCAGGTATAACACGAAACACTGTTTAAGGAACAAAAAGTTTTGTCATACCTCTTTCTTCTGTTCAGAAAACCAACTGGAATCTTTATTTGGACCTTGTGGCAATATATGAAGATCCACCAGGACTGCAAAATTACCACACTGAAAGACAAGGGATGAATATTTATCAACGGCAGAATGTATCTGTGCAGGTCTTGCCCAGCACATAACTACAGAGGCCCTCACAAACTCCACACACAAGAGAAGAGCAACAAAACCACCACTGGGTAGAATGTCAGTGTGGCTACTAGCGTTCATAAGTTCATATTTAGAGTGGAAATGCTAAGAAGCATACAGGCTTAGCTAGGATAGAAACAACAAAATAAATCTTTAGAGCACACCTTGACAGGGATGACCAGACAGCTCCACTGCAGCTGGATAGCTGCCAAACAGTGAGAGACTTTGAACAGGGCAGTACTATATAGACTTCAGAAAAAAGTCTGTGCTGAGCCAGGGGCATCCTTTCTCCTCAGTAGTAAAAAAAACCTATATAAGTTATTGCCTTTTTTTAATAAACAATTAGCTGGACCAAAGAGCTTGGAATTGGAATAAATACCCAGAAAAGCAAGAAAGAACTAGAAAGTAAAGGGATTAGATGTTGGCTGCCAGTTACCAAGCCTAAAGAAAATTTCATTCAAACATGCTATGAATTTTCAAAGCCTCCTTTCTTACTTTTAAGAGAAGAAAATAAAAATATTGTATGTCTGTGTGGTACAACAGTATAGCCAACTAGGTACTAAAGATATGGCTCTCATGACTTAAAAGTTTACATTTAAATTTTATTTACAGTAAATCTGATAGCCTCATGATAGCCTCCTATTGCTAATGTCTCTGCACTGGACAGCAGGCATATGCGTTGCATGAAAAGCTATAACCTAGCTGGTGACATGGCTCAGGGAATACAGTGTCTGCTGTACAATCTTGAGTACCCACATTGCTATGTACCACAAGTCCCAGTGCTCTGAGGGCAGAGACACGCAGATTCCTGAATCATACTGGCCATACAAGTTCCAGGTTCAAAATCACTTCCCCCTGAAGGGGCTGCCTTACCAGGCCACAGTGGAAGAGGATGAACTTAGTCTTCATACAACATGATGAACTGGGGTGGGTGGGTAGGGGGCTCCCCTTTTCTGAGGAAAAGGGAGGGAGGATGGGGAAGGAAGTGGGACTCAGAAGAGAGGAGGGAGGGAGCTACAACTGGAATATAAAGTAAATAAATAAATTAATTAATAATAAAAAAAACCACTCTGTCTCCAAAAAGAAAGTGGAGATCAATGAAAAAAAACATCTGGTAATGACTTCTGGCCTCGTGTAGGAACTCAAGTAGGGATGTATGCAGGGGATTCTGTTCCACACATACACACAGGCTGCAGCTTTACAAATCTTCACACCTCATGATTCATTTCAGAGATTCCCAAGATAACCATAAACAAACAGTTTGGAAAGGAAAGACTCGGCAACCAAGGTCATAGGTTGGGGGTGTCCAAGAGACCCAGAGATTCAGTCACTAGACGTGTAGGAAAGTCATTTTTATACATCTCTAACTAAGGATGTCATTAATTTCCTTTTTAAACTTCTGTGAAAAAAACTGTGAAAGCAGATTCAACAAATGGTGCTAGAATATCAGACATAACACAGAAAGAAAATGAAACTCAACTGCCATTTACCTTATTACCAGACACAAAATTTAATTTGAGATAGATTATAGACTTATGCATAAAACCCAAAAACTATTTATTCTCATCATCAGGGCAGAAAAAGATTTCATGGATATGATTCAGAAAACACAAAACATTGAAGGAAAAAGTGTTGATTAAACTGAACATCATCAAAAGAAGAAATGTGCTCAGCAGCAGTACCATCAGTGAAATGATATGTGTGCCACACACTGGAAAAAATACATTCATTAAATACACGCCTGACATGAAGGACCGCTATCAAAAAAATGTAAACAAGTCCTACCAAATGATAGACTTTTTAAAATCTAAGCTTAAATATGCACCACAAATATGAAAAATGAATGGCTGCATATGAAAAAGTAATCAACATCACTGTTCACCAGGAAAACTCCATTCCTAATCAACAGCCACAAAATGGATCAGAAGGACTTAAAGTACAAAGACTAACACCACACCAAAAGATAGAAAGGAAATGGGGCAGCCTAAATCACACTGGTAAGAATGGAACCAGGCTCAATCACTTTGGCAAATGTTTTGCCAGTTTTCTACAGCTGGTCATGTGCTTGCTGACTAGACCAAGGAGGCCTTTAGGCCAGTGAGGCCATCCTACCAGTTTACCTGAACTCAGAGCTGTGTTCACACTAACTCACAATGGAGACAAACTCAAGGACCATCACCTGGAGGATAAACTGGTTGTATTCTTACAATAGAATGTATTCATACAATGGAATGGCATTCACAAAAATGTTGACACAGCCAACACGGACTCATCTTAAAAACAGTCAGAGCTAATGATGCCAGACTGATAGACAGCTACTGTATGGCTCCACGGCAGAAATTCCTCAACAGCAAGATTCTTTTGTGGTGAAAGTGGCATATGAAGTGGCCAAATGTGACAGGAAGATGCTGGGTCCTAAAAAGGACCCTTGGTTGCACACCTAAAATAAGTTCTTCTCACCATGTGTAAATTATTCATTACTAATAGTTTTAAGATCTAAGTATAATATCTGAAACTGTGTGTATATAATTTCCTATAAGACCACTGTATTGTGGTCATCTGACTGCAAATACTTCCAATATTTTATTTATTATTATTATTATTCAGTTTTTAAATAAATTTTTATTGTATATATATATATATATATATATATATATATATATATATATATGTCTTTTGCTTGCTGGGTTACATGAGACCCTCAAAAAAAAAAAAGTCAGTCAAACACACATATACACACACACCACAAACCCACCATTGTGATGTCTCTTGGGTCTTGGGTTATCCCAACTCTGTACTGAATTCTCCCCAGTAGGCTTTGCCTCTTTATTATCTTTTATTTATTTATTTATTTGTTTGTTTGTTTGTTTATTTATAGTCTTCTTGATACATGTATAGGTAGGTGTTTTGTCGGCATGCGTATCTCTACCATGTGCGTATCTGATGCCCTTGGAGGTCAGAAGAGGGCATTGTATTCCCCGAAACTGGACTTACAGGCAGTTGTGAGCCACCATGTGGGTGTTTAGAACTGAACCCAAATCCTCTGCCAGAGTAGCCAGTGTTCTTAATTGAGGAGCTATTTCTCCAGCCCTCTGCCCTTTTGTCCTATAGCAGCACGGATGATCTCACAAAAGTGTCCTTCTCCTTAGCAGCCTCAACCGGAGGCTTACTAGCCTAGAGTCCGCCCCAGACTAGGCTGGGTCACAGAATTCTCCATTTGCTGGACCAGACACCTGGACCTGTCCTAGGCTTATCCTTTTTCAGCTATTCAGTTTAGTTTTTTCTTTGTTTGTTGTTTGTTTGTTTTTTGAGAAAGTGTTTCTATATGTAGCCTTGGCTGTCCTAGAACTAATTCTGTACACCAGGTTAGCCTCAAACTCACAGAAATCTGCCTCCTCTGCCTCCCAGAGTGCTGGGATTGTGTGCACCAGAACTGCCCAACCAGAATTGTATTTTAATTAAAGAAATCCAAGAGAATATTATAAAGCCATAAAAAATATCAGTGCTTGGTGAAATGTAAGTCTGTGTATGAGTTATAATGACAGGCTGATTCTATTTTGTAGGCTGTAGTTTAAAAAAAAAAAACTGAAAACCATACTCAAGCATATTGTTATGCTTAGAATTTCTTCACAATTGTTGATTATAAATCTAACCTTTAAGGAGTATGCTGCCACCAGGTGGAGGTCACATGTCACAACTACAAGATCTTAGCCAGGGGTTATTAACATTTTGTGTGCCATGAATCTTTCTTTAGCCAATTGGGACTCTGATAAAATGTGCCCAGAATGTTTTTTAAATACAAAAAAAAAAGCAATATGTTATAAAAAGTAAATAGACTACACTGAAGTACATTTATCAAAATCTTAAAAAGCAACCCCAAATTTATGATATAGTAATAATGTATACATGTTTTTGCAGGCACTGGCTCATATACAAACTGATGGACCCAGTGACAACAGCAAAGTAAAGAGTGACAAGCACTTCTGGCATTTTCAGATATTTGCTTTCTTGTACTATGCTCTGAACTCATGGTGTTCTTCAATAGGATGTTACATGGCTTCTGTTCAACACTGTATTGAAATCAGAAAACCTGGGAAGAGTAAGCTTGTGGGCCTCTGTCTTTCTCATGTTATCGGGCAAAGTTATTTGCACTGGGATGAGAGTGAAGACTGGGGTCATCTTCCAAGGAAGGAGAAGTGGGATAAGCAGACGTTGGGTTGCAAACAAGTGAAGCCAAGGCAAGAGTTGAGTTGAGGGAGAAGCCAGAACAGCAGAGGCCTGGAAAGCACTGAGGATATGGGTCCTGGTATCTGCATAGATGCTCTTTAAAATTAATCTTAATACTGGATTAATATTAATCTTTAAAATTAATCTGCAACAACTATAGCACACAAAGAGCTTGATGTTTAGTGGGATAAGCACTGCTAATACCACTGTATTGTAAATCCCACAGTCAACATAAAAGGAGGCCTACCTTTATGAGAACATGGTCAGAATCAAGCTCTAATTTCCCCACCTAAATCCAACGAGGCACCCAATGAAATATAAAGTTCAATCAGGAATTTGTTCACACCCCAGTCTATGCTTGCTTATAGATTGATTAATTTTTTTTTCCTTTGAATAAATAAAGCATCAATTCTTACACTGGTAATATAAGAGAGAACTTTCCTAGGTTTCTGGAAGATTCCATGCTGGGCAGGCAGTATTCTCCCTGGGGAGCCAGCAGGCCTTGCTTATCTCTGGCAGAAGCTTGGATAATCTCCACTAATCAGGAGTATCTAAAGTTCTCTGCTCTCAAAGCTCTGCTTCTTTCTCCCATGAGTAAACCAAGGTGAACAAAATAGACTTCTAAGCACAGCAGGAGGCACGGCCTCCCTTCCTCATCATCCTTAATTAGGAGCTTGTCTCTACTCTCAGAAGAAAAA